GTCTATTGCCAAGTTACTAACATTCTTTCCTCGGTAAAGATACTGTAAAAAAAAACAGTAGTTTGTGAAATGTACAAGGCAGGAGTTGGAGAGGGAGAAAGCAGAGGTAATCTATAATCTGCCAGAGCCAGAGGGAGACACATATGGCAAAGTAAAAGAGAGATAGACCAGAAAGCGATTACAAAAATTCTCTCCCACATTCAGGCGCGAGAGACACAACAAGGGGGAACTAAACCTTACTATTGACTTGGAATGCTCGAAATTGGGACAGAATTAACCAGTGAAAGTGATCAATTCAGAGCATTACTCCAATGAAATATATATACTGGTTGAAAAGCGGGACTTTTGAAAAGTCCCGCTGGTTTGTTTGAAAGAAAGTGAAAAAAGTGTATTTTTATAGTGAGAGGCGTTGATATCCAGTTTCTCGGTGTTTATTCACTCGGTCCAGCTAAGGGCTAGAGTGAATATACACTCTACCCCTGAACTAGAGTTGCTGGTTGCTCAATAACCTATTGTGGTGGCCTTAAATACTTTCCTGTTTTAAATAAATAAATCTCAAGTTTTCTCTCAAGAAATTTCTCTTTTCTCAAGAAATTTGAAAATTTTGAAAATTTGACAAATTTGAAAATTTGACAAATTTGAAAATTTGAGAAATTTTTTCTCAAGAAATTTCTTTTCTCAAGAAATTTTTCTCGAGAAATTTCTCAAGAAATTTGAGAGATTTCTCAAGAAATCTCGTTTTCAATAAATCACTGAACTATATATATAACAGATCTCTAACCCTGTCCATGGAGGACAAAAGAAAATGTATACTATATGCTGGTTAGCATTGTAAATGTGTGGCCACGTCTGTGATCGAAAATATTAATAATAAAAAAAAGCTCCTTGTCCTCGTATCTCTTGCATGTGCTATACAGTCATACTGACTTTGTGCTTTCCCGAGACCTTTTTTCCCCTTACCGGCACAGTTGTTAATGTGGGTTTAAAATAACCGGTCTGCCCTCGTTAACACCAAACATGGAACTCCGGCGCAATATTTATTTATTTATTTATTTTGAGATATATACAAGAGTTGTTACATTCTTGTACAGCCACTAGTACGCGTAGCGTTTCGGGCAAGTCCTTAATCCTATGGTCCCTGGAATACGATCCCCTGCCGCGAAGAATCGTTTTTTCATCCAAGTACACATTTTACTGTTGCGTTAAACAGAGGCTACAGTTAAGGAATTGCGCCCAGTAAATCCTCCCCGGCCAGGATACGAACCCATGACATAGCGCTCGCGGAACGCCAGGCGAGTGTCTTACCACTACACCACGGAGACTTAATATATATTCATTTGTTAAAACTAACGAAACGTTCCGGACAATGGAGGTAATTATTTCTTACTTTCGAGGTTTAAACGTCGAAACATTATTATTATTGGTGTTAATGTTATGTTTATTGGTGTTAAAAATAACAGGGAGGCATGTTACATATGATTATTGGTTGATATTCTGCTGTTGAATGACCAAGATTACTTTGTAGATCACATCTAAATGACAGGTAAAGGCATTTACATCACATCTAAATCACGAGTACATATATTTCATTCATTTGGGCCCTAGGAGCCTCGAACAATATTATTAATTAATATTAAATGTATAAATATTATTAACAGCATTAAATTCTTAACATATTAATAAATGAATAACTATTTGTTCACAAATTACAATTACTCCCAGTAATCACCTGGGTTATCGTGTCCAAGCATAGAGACCTCACCTTAAGGTCATGGAGACATGTCTGCTTGGAGAAAGTTCAACAACTGGGCGACAATAATCATTCCCAGAACTAAGTCAACTCTCATTCCAGGAATTGTTGAGGGTCAGAAGATTAACAACTCTACACACCAGACATAACACGACGGATTTGTTGACCAAACCACACACTAGAAAGTGAAGGTACGACGACGTTTTGGTCCGTCCTGGACCATTCTCAGTCGATTGTGGACGGATCTCATCGAACGGATCGACGGATCCGTTCGTCGGATCGTTCTCAGGACGGATCTCATCGAAACTTTTAATATTCTGAACAATTTGGAGGATATTGATCTAGACCACTTCATTAAAAGGTTAGATGTAACACTAACAAAGGACAACGGTTTCAAGCTTAACAAGCCACAGTGTAGGACAGAAACAAATGTTTTTCACTCATGAAGGGCTGTATAAACCCATGGAACCACCTACCCCTGAAGCTGTAAATACCGAAAAATTGCTACAATTCAAAATCCAGCTGTTTAAAATCATCAGGACGAATAGAGGAACCTTTGACAAGCCGGCTTCCTGTCCCCGTCGAGGCCACTGGAGAGATAATGGCCCTCAAGTAAATTTATATGAATTTACCTGAAGGCGACTATATCTTTCTAGTGGCCTCGACGAGGACAGAAAGCTGGCGGCTTGTCAAAGATTCCCCACATTTGTCCTGATGATTTTATCTACCTGGAATTTAAAATTCTAAAGTATTTTGGTCCTATACAGCTTTAGCGAGTAAGCGGTTCCAAGGTTTTTTAACCTTATGGGTGAAAAAGCATCTCCTGTTTTCAGTCCTACATTGGTACTTGTTGAGCTTGAATCTGTTGCTCCTTGCTCGTGTTACATCTGACGTTTTTAAAGAAGCGGTCCGGATGAATATCCTCCAAGTTTTTCAATATTTTAAAAGGTTAGATGAGACCAGCCCTGTCAAGTCGGTTTGCAGCATTATTTACTATAAGAAAATCTTTGGGGCAAGATGATGGGATCGATCAACCATCCTAGGTCACACCAGAAACGCACTTTTACCCCATGGACCATGATATGCTTTTAAAATTTACACAATTTTAACAATTTACACAAAATTTACCGTGCTAGAACCCAATCCAATTTTTACGTATAACCCGCATACACGCTGGTTAAGGTAATGGAGTTTTTCCACAAAACGCTCTCGTCAAATACACAATGAAATCCAGGTTGTATAACTTTTGAGCATATTGTGATCCATGGATTAAGTCTGATGGGTGGATGCTCCATAGAATTTTTCAAATATTTGTAAAGTTACCCATCAACCACATTCTTTTAATTTAATTTCATGGTAATAGAAAACTGAAAATATTAATGACAAACATGTACAAATTTATCAAAAACTACCCAATGTACATAACGTTTCTACTAAACATACAATTTAATTGTATCATTATTTATTTATTTATACAAGAATGTACAATGAGTTGCGAAAGAACATACGTTTTTGATATAGTCTTGCAAAATCACTAACGCTTTGATGTTGCTGTTTTAGACTCAGCTATTCGGAACAAGAGTTCTAAGCAGTAAGTAACTATCAAAAGGGCTCACTATGGTGAGCCCGCAGTGGACTTTAACGCTTTGCGTAATAGTAGGCCTCAGGAAGCACGAGTATAAAGAGCTATGACATGTTTTACGTACTTAAAATTATCTGTTAGATTAAGGACCTGCCCGAAACGCTGCGCGTACTAGTGGCTTTACAAGATTGTAAATACTATGCTATATGTATTCTCTCTAACCCAATGTACCTTCTTGTATATAAATAAATAAATGTTTAAAACCGAGAATTATGTTCGGGCAGCATAAAACATCCGCTAGACAGTGTGACATTGTAATTGCCAGAATTAGGCTGGGATATCGATGTCTATCTATGACAGGTGGCTGCAGGTAATGACTCTCCCAATAGTGAACATTCCAATTGAAAACTATGCGAACAAGAGCTGGGACATACTCTCCAACACTATATATGTGATTGCCCTGTTATAAGTGACTTCAGACCAATTGGTATGAGGTACTTTGAGCTCTGTAATTACTTCATACACTCAGGAATATTGGAAGATATTAAAAATAAAAAAAAAATAAAATGTTTATTTAGGTAAGGTACATACATAAAGTAAATTTTTACAAAGATTGGTTGACTTATAGGTAGAGCTAGTACATACAATGCCTAAAGCCACTATTACGCAAAGCGTTTCGGGCATGATAAACTTAAATGACAAGCTTAATACTAATTTTTTATTAATATTTATTAATATTAACATAATTAATATTCTTATGCTGTACCTAGATTTTGCTAGCGGAGGCTAATAATAATAATAATAATAATAATAATAATAATAATAATAATAATAATAATTTTATTTAGGTAAGGTACATACATAAAGAGATTTTACAAAGTTTGTTGGCTTTATAGATAGAGCTAGTACATACAATGCCTAAAGCCACTATTACGCAAAGCGTTTCGGGCAGAGAGATCAGCCTTACATTTTATGATCTCTCCTGATTTTTAATCAGAGTTGATTTGTTCTTGTATTGAGGCTGGTATTTGCTCCCCTGATTCCATGTAAGACTAACCATCCTGTGAGATGGGAATATTAAATGAGCTTATAGCTAGTTTTTGATCTACACTGTGTAATCTTTCATATAGAATAAGGTATCAGCACATTGCTGTGTATACCCAAGCTTGAAAATAATAAAAAAAGCATCCTCAGTAGGGTCAGTAATTCAGCCTTGAATTACTGAACCCCCCCCCCCTTCGAATTATCGAAGGTTTAATTCCTGCCCGAAACGCTTTGCGTAATAGTGGCTTTAGGCATTGTATGTACTAGCTCTATCTATAAATCCATCAACTTTTGTAAAATGTGTGAATAAAAATTTATTTATTTATTTATTTATTTATTTATTTATTTATTTATTTATTTATTTAATTGTTATTATTGGTTTATACTTGTCATCCCTAGACAGCCATAACAGGCGGGGCTAGGTCTTATCGTATACATGTTTCGTATACTCGTGGTTTACATCCATAAATTAAAATTTTTAAGTACTACGCTGCATTTTATTTAACTTTCATACGCACACGCTACATAATATGCGTCGTAAATTGTCATATTCTAGGTATGACGAGGTTTTTAAACCCCCCAATTGAACCCCCCCCCCCCACACACAGAGAGATGTTGTTGTACGAACAAATATTGTGGACGAAGTGACTTGTGTGTAAGGGCCGGGGTGTAGACGACAGATCTTGGCTGTAGTCAGGTGTGTATATATGTGTCTCTAGTGTGGCTCTTGGTTGTATTGTGTTTACAAGGTATACTGTGTATGGTAGCCAAGTGTGTATATATATATCTGTAGTGTGGCTGTATGAAGTGTACTGGGTATAATTACGGGTGTATTGTATAGTATATCCAGGTGTGTATATATATGTGTCTCTGGGTATATGAAGTGTTGTAAATATACTGTGTTTTGTAGCCAGATGTGTGTATATATATATATATGCCTCCAGTTTGGGGTCTGGATATATCTTGTGCCAAGTAAACTTGTGTATTGTAGCCAGGTGTATATTTACCTGAGGGGGGGGGGGGGGCCACTTATCTCTCTAATGACCTCGACGGGGACAGGAAGTCAGCGGCTTGTCAAAGCCCCCCCCCCCATATTCCTCCCGATGATTTTAAATTCAACTAGAGTTGAATTTATGGCTTCGACGGGTAGGCGGTTCCACGGGTGAATAACCCTGTGGGTGAAAAAGCATCTCTCTTCTCTGTTCTCAGTCCAACATTGTGGCTTCTTGGTTATCTTGAGATGATTTCGGGGCTTTTAGTGTCCCCGCGGCCCGGTCCTCGACCAGGCCTCCACCCCCAGGAAGCAGCCCGTGACAGCTGACTAACACCCAGGTACCTATTTTACTGCTAGGTAACAGGGGCATAGGGTGAAAGAAACTCTGCCCATTGTTTCTCGCCGGCGCCTGGGATCGAACCCAGGACCACAGGATCACAAGTCCAGCGTGCTATCTGCTCGGCCGACCGGCTTGTTGAGATTGAAATCATTGTTTGTGTTACGCCTGACCTTATGGAGAAATTGTCTGGAATCGACATTTCCTCCAATTTGTTATTTTTGAAAGTTTTGATGATTATCCGCTTCTGTCATGCCAGGTTTGCAGTGTTGGTTAGTCTTGTTATGGGCTAACCAACCGTTCCTGGTACGGGAGTTGACTTGGTTCTGGAAGGATTTTTTTGTTGTCCGGTGTTGGATCTGGTTCCCTCTTGCTCTACGCGAGGTTTCTGTCCACACTGAGCTGGCCTTAGGACACCTGCATTATCATTTGACAGATGTACCGCCCCAGTCAAACTCCCCACCTGATAATGTCCTCGGAGCGAATCGCGGCGGGCGCGAACGCCCGGGCTTGGGGCCGGAGGAGGCCACAGCCGGAAGACAAACCAACCCGAAGACGCAGGGGCGCGAACCCCATACGCCAGTAATTATGCAACATGCAACCATGTTGTATAATTATTGTGTGTGGTATAGTGTAGGCGTGTGTGTGTGTGTGTGTGTGAACTTCCAGTATGGCTATGGTTGTACCAAGTGTATTGGGTATACTGTGTATTAAATAGCGTAGTTACGGTGATACGTTTACAGTTGTAATTCAGTAATGATGATTTGATTAAATATTATCTAATTACAGTATGTATTGTTTATATGCAGTTACTGATCATGTACAACATGGCAGACAAGTCTTTAAACGAAAAGTATGGTCATGTAATTGTTATTAATATGGTATTACTAATATCTATATGGAAAGATTCAGTGTTCCGTAGCCTCGGCTCACACCTGAGAGCCCAAGTTCAGTCCCTCGGTGAAACAGAAACGGTTGGATAGTTTCCTTTCACCTGATGCCTCTACCTAACAGTAAAATAGGTATCCGGGAGTTGAGGGTTGAATCCTGCACTTCTCACTTTAAAAATCTAATGAATCCCTACCATTTACAGTACTGTACTTGATAGGTTTCTTTTTATTCTGGATTTGACTTGATATTTTGTATGGCACTGTATGCTGTATTAAATTATTTGTCAGGGATTTTAAAACCTTTGTATATATGTATACTTTAGGCTTGTATCGCGGTCCCTCTATGGTCAAACTATTGACCTTTCCCAGGATGCAACCCCCCCCCCCTACATCAATTTCATAATTTCCTATTTACCTCCCAAAGTGGACAGAGGTATTACGTGAAAGGAAACATTCCCAACCATTTCAGTCCTGCTTGAAAATTGCACCTTGGATCCCAGGTTGTGAGTCGAGAAAATAAAATTTGTTGCATAATTTGTCCTGCACGTCTGTCAACTGGACACATGTTGTATTTCCCCAGAGCAAGCGAGCCACTGTTTGGAAAATCTACAACGTAAGGGAAAAACTTCTTGTAATTCCTTTACAAGCATCAGCTCAGTCCTACAAATTGCCCTATCACGGAGCCAAGAGCTGCCACAAGCCTGTATCTGGGTGCCAGTTAGTCTTGAGAGACTAACTAACTTACTAACTTCAGCTTCTACCAGATTCTATCCAAATGCTGAGGGAGGTGAGTACAGTAGGTCTAACTATGGCTATTACTTTCTGTTTACATTAGCCTACTATGTGCATTTCTTAGAAAACTACTGTCACTAACCTATATTAACATTAACAAAATTTAAGTTAAGTTGCAATATTATTAGCACATATTAATTACAGTAGTTTGAATAGAAATGCTGTGCTTTAATTTTTCACATGTCTTCTATGAATGTTGCTAAACTTGACAGAAGCTTTGATGATATGATGGCATTAATGGTACAGTACTTGTATTGTTACTATAATCTCTTGCAGAAATAGCAAATGCAATATAAAAAAGTTAAGAACAGCCAATTAATATTTTCCCATAACAACAAGTTTTCTAAGCAATGTCTCATCTGTTGCTCTCATAGCTAGTGTGTGGGTCCACCCAGGACACTATACACCAGAGTTTAATTTAACTTTCCTCCACTACGACAAATCTATCGGTCCGCCATTGAGTTCCCACTCACTGTTAGACAACTATGAAAACAATACACTCGTCAACCCTGCAAACTTTTACAGTACTGTATTTGAATCCCAGGAAACCCAGTTATCACTCTACCTTCTAATTATGATAATGAATAGCCCCCCCAAAAAGGGGGCAAATTGAAGGAAAATCAGACTGTATTCAAATTGCTGTATTAAATTATTCATGCCAATAGCTATATACAGTATAAGAACATATTGCATGCAAATATGCAATGCAAGCTGTATGTAACGGCTTGTATGTTTGGTGTTTCACTTTAGTTTATACAATGTGTGGAATAAAACTATTTACACATAATTGATAAAAAGTGATTGGCTACTCTATATAGGCCTAGAATGTAATGCTGTATGTACACCAATTTTGCATGTAAATATGTTCCTGGGTACAGCTCGGAAGGAAGTGTCTTGCAACCCACGCTTTAGCTGTTGGTTGCAAGATCTGGTGATGAGTACAGTACTCAGTCAGAAGTAGATTGAGATGCTGGCTGGAAATGCCAGATTCTGATTAGATTATTCACATTATACAGTACAGTAATAACGCGGTTACTGTTATACGTTAACTTCATCGCATAGTAAGTACATTATTTCCTGGTGTCGAAGACACACCCCCATTTTGAGGTGCTAAATTTTTTTTTTTTGGGGGGGGGTGAAATTGGACCTATGCTAAGCCCAAAATATAAAATGAATTAATGTTATTACAAATGTTGTTTTACTCTATTAAGTGGTTGGGCACCATTCCTTCCCCCCGTCCCATCCCAAATCCTTATCCTGACACCTTCCCAATGCTATATAGTCGTAATGGCTTGGCACTTTCCCCCGATAGTTCCTTTCCCTTCCCTTCTGTATCTTATTTTATTTTAATATTTTATTATCCAAACATAAGATTAATCATATGGTCAGAACTGAATCGTATGGATTCGTGCTGTGTTTACAGTTTGCCACTGGTGACTATCCATGTTCTCGACTCGTAACAAATCCGACTTCACAATTGGAAAAGGTTACAAAAAAAAAAAAAACACCTTTTGGAATAAAATTGTATGCCACTTGAAACAAAGCTTACAAAATGGGAAAATCTTTTTTTTTTTTTTTTTTTTTTGTGCAGATGCATAATATGGACAGTGAAGAAGTATAGAAGACTGGAACCATCCAACCAAAACAAATTGTAAATGGTTGCCAAAAGCAAAACAGTTGTGTAATTGTGTAGCCTTTTGTGATTGTTTTTTCGTATTTGATATTTTCTACCAAGTAATTTATACATTACATTCTGGGGTCATTTAGAGGAATTTTGATTGTGGTATACTGTATTACCTAAACACTTATAGCCCTAATGAGTTTTCTCGCCTTCAGCCTCCAAGATGCTGGTCAGTTTTCCTGGCCATAGTTTAGGGTAAAAAAAAATTTTCTTCGATGCCGGGAAATACAGTAATTATAATTGCGAGCAGAATTTTTTTTGTTGGTCTAGTTTAACTCCATTACATCCATATACAGTAGATGTATTATGATCGTATTTACATCATTGGTATAAAAATTACGTGATGACTAAAATCGACATATAACCTCATTTCCAAGGGGATCAAATTACAGTATGACTATAATCACACTGGAAAGGTCAATAAGTTAGGAGGAGAGTGACAGTGTTGATTGACTGACCTTTACTCATCCACTGCTGCATTTCACAGAGATATACTATTGACATATATTGACTCATTCATACTGTTTTATAATGTAATTAGAAACATAAATACCCAATTTTCTAATGTCTGAAGTTATAAAGAACATTCAAAAATGGTATGCAAGAAGCGGCGAGAGACATTTCTGTGGAGTGAGTTCAACATGCACCAGTACATGTACTGGTGCTAGCAGCAAACGTGCTTCCTCAACATGTCCCCTACAAACCACAAATGGCGGTGCAGCGGTCAGCGCAGTGGTATGCAACCAAAGGGTCTTGGGTTTGATTCCTATGGCTGGATGGAGACGTTTGGGCATGGTTTCCTTTCGCTAGATGCCTCTGTTCACGTGGCAGTAAATGGGTACCAGAGTTTTGTCAACAGTTTTGGTGTGCATCCTGGGAAAAGGTCGGTGGTTAGCTTGGTGGGCTCTTGATAAGCCTAACAGGGCTTACTGTCCACGGAACAGTAATGGGAATCTTAACTTAATGGACTTAACTTTTAAGTCCCCTGTGGACTAAATGGGAATCCATTAAGTCCACAGGGGAAAAAAGCCCAATTTCATCAAAATTAGCATAAAAGGTGGGACAAATAGAATACATATTATCATGCGAATTGCAAATACCCTACCAAATTTAGAAAGGACAGTGTATATACCATTTTCAGTAATATGTCCTTAAAGTTAATAGCATGGTGGCTGGTTGCTTCTCACTGACCCGTGTGAATGGTGTTTTGGGTGGACCTTGGGGATACCTCCCTAGGCATTACTGCCTACGGGAGTAATCCAAGGGACTGGCTCCGAAAGGAACATAACTTTCCTCTCAATGCCTTATTTCTGTTTTGATTTCAGAGCCAAATTTTGGAGCAATGAATGGAAGGTAGCTGGTAGGAGCTAAGTACAGTACAATAGTTATACCTAGCCACTGTGATAAGAATACTTCTGCTTGCACTCACAGTAGAAATATAAGTTCATCCAATGTATCGGAGGTAAAACTGTTAGATTATAATGGTATATAGTTCTTTTGAAAAGCCTAAGAAAGCTTGAATGCTGATATATTCATAGCTGTCCCTGCAACTGTTGTCTGCTTTATATATTAGTCTATGCAGTAGGTCTGTTTCTGATGCTCTGTTTCCTCTTTTTTTTTGTTTTTATTGTTTAACATCTTGATACGATGACCATAATAGAAAAGTATTTGCTTTATTTAATTAAGTATAGTTGCCACTTTTCTGTAAATATCCTTACATTTCCCCCCCACAAGATCTTACTACTATGTTTCAATTGATTTTTCATACATTGCTGGCTGCCCTTTTTTTAATCCTTGCTTCCCTATACTGTACTGTACATTACCATCATATGCATGGTTGTATATACTTGTCCAACATTTTTTCTAATGTAATTAGACCGCATACAAATAAATTATTTTACTGTATGATCATGCACTTCATTTCTCAAGTATTGCCAACATTCTGTAAAGCTGGAATGATGATGCTTTTGACCAAGCTAGTGGTGCACAACTTGGTAGATTTTCCCTCAAGGTGTTCTTCTCTGCAGATGGCACAAGTTTGGTGCGCATGATTATTGGATGTTTCTCTCCCCACCCTCAAGTCCTGGCATTTGTATTTGATTTGGGAAATAGAAAAAGCTTTACATTTATATCTTGCATGTTTTTAGGTATTTCCAGTAGGGCTACCTTATGGATTTGTAATTTATGTTTGTCTTCAGCTTTATTTCTTCTGAAGATGTTTTTACTCAGTCTCAAGAATGGCATATTATATTAACTTTAGAGTAGCTTCATAAAAGAATTGATGCAATATGTATTTTGATAACCTCATTGTATAGATGTGCAAGTTATGACACACATGTATAATAGAACTACAGTTCGTTTTTTTTAGTGGACTGTGTAGCCTAGTGGCAGCTATTGTCTTTATTTATTTGAGTTCCGAGAGAGATTTCTAAGAAAGGTGTGAGCCCTGAGAGTTTTAGCACTAGTACGGCTGTCAGCCCCTTAATCACACCACCTGTCCACCAGTTCTCCCACTTATCCCCTCCCACAAACACAACCCAAAACCCCCCAACATTCCACAACCACCTGCACTCCACAGGCAAATCTTATACCCACCATTCTAAACTCTTCACCCCTCCCCATGTGCCCTCAATTCCTACATTTCCCACATGTCCTTAATTTGTCATCCACTCAAACAACTACTACTACACTCGTACTGACACCCACATCTTTGCTATACCCATATATTCCTGCAACCCATTGATATATTATTATAAATAAACCCTCTGCCCAGCCACATACCCACACACGCACCCCTTCCCTTCCATCAGCCTCTCACACACTCGGCCAACTGTCTATCACTCAAGATGATAATTCCTCTCCTGAGAATGTTCATTATTCTTCAAGTTTATTGCTGAAAAGTATGAAAGATAAGTTTCCTTATTATTCTAACATAGACCGATAATGTGCGCACATTTCCACACATTTTATTTGTATTTATATCGAAAACAAATTAGCAATGTTCAGAAATAGTGTATATGAATTATGTTGAAATGTTCATAATGTGTGTATTCAGCTCTTATCACGCAAATTCTAATATCAATTCACATTTTATTTTGCATTTGTACTCTAACAAATTAATTTATGAACAATGTGACACCATATTTATAGTAATAATTCCAAAACTAAATGAGAAAATGTTGAGAGTACTGTATTAACATTTTAGGTGTCTTTGAGCAGGACCTCGAGAAGCCAAGAATGTTTACAGTTGAGAGTTCGGTGATGTGTCAAATGTTAGTATTAATGTTCCCGCACAACCCCAATCATGCCCACCACATTCACACCCTCCAGCATACATTCATTGTCTTTCTCTCCGTGTCCATGAGACTGATCTAGTCTCCTGAGACTGATGGAAGCATACTACAGAGGGGAAGAGGTTGTCATTTCTTGACAATCTCTGTCAAGGTTATTCATTATGTATACTGTTTGTATTGCAAAATTTACTTGAGGTGGGGGACAAGAAATGCTTCTCGGTCGGCTTCAATTAAAACATTTAATTTTCAACTGTATTTTCCCCAAAATTTGTCACGTACTTCAAAACTCTCTGTACCTGTTGTGCTTGTATATTTTAATTTGTCTGCTTGTTGTATATTCAGATGTATGATGCTTTGAATTGGATGAAATTTCAGTGGCATTAACAAAGTGCTTGTAATTATTTATATGTATGATACTACAATCTGCTGTAAACATAATTTTACAGTTTTGATTTTTGCCATTCGCATTAATCCTCTACGTGGAAATACACATGCGAGTACAGTATTATAAATGCATACACGTTCAGTGACGTATTTTTTGGATTTATGAATGAGGGGAAAATTTATGCATAAATACTGGACTGTTTAAAAGTAACTTATATAGTGAGAGATATGGCATCTTATTCTTGTGATATTTATTGGCCAGAAGTATGTAGGTATTCTTATGTTTGGTTTAGTAAATGTTTGAGATAATGAGCAGAATGGAAGAGAAAGATAAGACTAAGAAAGATGAGAGTAAATGGCACTGTGAAACATGGATAAGCCATACTGCATGCTGCATGGAGGATGGCAGCACTTGTCATGTCAATAAATGTTTTCCACAGTTTTTCTTTGCTGCAAGTATGTGTTCCTTGTATGTATTCAAAGGAAGAGTTAATATGAAGTAATTCACCATTTCAGCACCTGCCCGGAATGATACGTGCGTACATCCCTCGGTATCGACAAGTAGAGGGTGAGGGAGGCAGGAGTCATTATGTGTATTGCTTAGAAGTTTGCTACGTGGGACGTGTCCATAAAATTGAGAAAAGATACTCTGCATTCCATAGTTTATACAAAGAGGTATTATCTTTTTCAATGGATTTGTTTGCATTTCTAGTGACAATAAAGGTGGATAGATTGAAAAATGGTTAGTCAAAATTGGGAGAGTTTTATTGTTCATTTTGGATTTGTTTGTGTTCAACAAACAAATCATTTTGGATTTTGTGTGTTCTGTTAAAAGTCAACTAGTTATTCTGTCTTTCTAATATTTTATGTTTTACTTGTCTAAGTTCATGCCAGGTCCTAGTATTATCCTAGCTGTGCTTCAGTTACATGGTGTACACCAGTGTGAGTTCTATGACATCTACATTTGTATGGTGTGCACAAGCGAGAGCTCTGGGACTTCTATGGTGTCCATCTGCCACCACCACTACGCTGCATTTTATTGCTCACCACTGTGTGGCTCAACTTGTCCCACATTCCATGCATTTAGGGGGGAGTTAGGGGAAGACATGATTACCAGATAAAAAGTTCTTGGGAAATTAATATGGTAGAAAAGGATACATTATTTAGCATGGGTGGTACTTGTACAAGAGGACACATGTGGCAGCATAGTAGCCAAATGAGCCAGAAACAGTAGGGAGAATTTTGTTCAGTATTGTAGTAATGATCAAATGGTATGCACTAAGAAGTGATGTGGTGGAGGCAGACTCCATGTACAGTTTCAAAGGAAGATATGATAAGAGCCCAGTTGACTAAGACGCCTATTCATCAGTTTGACAGCTGATAAGCAGGACCAAAGAGTTGAAGCTCGACCCCCATATGTTCATAAGAATGAAAGTAACTGCAGAAGGCCATTGGCCCATACTAGTCGGCTTATATTTATATCCACCCAAACTCATTCTTATGTCTAACCTATGCATGAAACAATCGAGGGATCCTATATATATTATATTACGTGCTAATTGGTTCCACAAATCAACAACCCTGTTACTTAACCTGCATTTACCCAGGTCTTTCCTTAATCTATACTTATTTGATCGTACAATGAAGCGAGTGCCAGTCAATGTGCAACTCGGAAGTGGGAGATTGTGGTGAACAGATAAGATTGAATATGTGTGTGATTACATGGACAATACGATGGTGAGAAACTAATAGGTCATAGATAAGGACAACCCTAGAGATAACAGATAGTAATGAGTTTTCTTTGCAGCTGTGCAAGCTGTATCAAACTGCAGAATTTCCTCCCAAACGTTTACGCAACACAACTCCTAAAGTCTTGGAAACTCGTCGAGCGGGCTTAGAACTCTGGTTACATTCCACTCTGCTGCTACAACCAGCTCCACCAGCATTATTAGCATTCTTACAAGTTCATAATTATCAACCGCCACGTCAGGAGTAAGTACAGTGGTCTGGTTATGTTGAACTTAAATATTCATTTAAATATACACTTAAATATGCACATAAATAGAACTAAAAAAAACTTTGCGGTACCAGGCAGTGCCCTGGTCGATCCAGTACCCAGGTCTTCCCCATTCGTCCTCCGCAACTTCCCGTACACTTGCCCTTCTCGTCTCCTCACATTACTGTATAATTTTCAATTCACAGTCGCCATCACACAACACAAGAATGAAGACAACCGCAGAAGGCCCATTGGCCCATACGAGGCAGCTTCTACCTGTATCCACCCAATCTCATTCACATATATGTCCAACCTACACTTGAAACAATCTAGGGACCTCACTTCTATCATGTTATGCAGTAATTGGTTCCACAAATCAACCTTATTGTCGAACCAGTATTTACCTAGGTCTTTCCTAAATTTAAACTTAACCAATTTATACCCATTGTTTCGTGTTTTATTGTGTTAAAATAGGTTTAATACCCTATTAATATCCCACCTAGTAGTATGTTGTGTTGATTTAGGGGCGACGACGATCGTGGGATCGGATGCGCCCCCACCTAGTAGTAGGTGAGAGAAGGTAAGATTAAGTTAAAAATAAGATGAATGTTAGCATAGGATGACTGTAAAAATAAGGTAAGAACATAAGAATGAAGGTAACTGCAGAAGGCCTATTGGCCCATTCGAGGCAGCTCCTATTTATATCCATCCAATCCCACTCATATACATGTCCAACCCACGTTTGAAACAATCGAGGGACCCCACCTCCACCGGTAATTGGTCCCACAAATCGACAACCTTGTTACCGAACCAGTATTTACCCAGGCTTCTTTCCTAAATCTAAACTTATCCAATTTACACCCAATATTTCGTGTTGTATTTTGTGTTGATAGTTTTAATACCCCTATTAATATCTCCTGTGCTATGCCCATTCATCCACTTATAGACCTCCTTCATGTCAACCCAAATTCTTCGCCTTTCTAGAGAATATAAATTCAGCTTTGTCATTCTTTCTTCATATGACAGGTTTCTAATTTGCTGGATTAATTTTGTCATCCTACGCTGGACGCGTTTTAGTGAATTTATATCCATTCTATAGTATGGCGACCAAAACTGAACTGCATACTCTAAATGGGGGCCTAACCAGCGCAAGATATAGCTGAAGAATAAAACCAGGTGTTCTGAGAACTAATAAAAACTTTATTAAAAAAATAGAAAGTTTTTAAGAACTTAACTAAAGGGTTCAGTTCTTGAGCCCATTATGTATGCGTGTTTTTTTTCCCCTGCCACTCTCCGGATGTTTATGGGATGCATAATAAATGAACTAAACGAAACTCCGGTGGCAGACTTCAACATTGAAATTGAAATAAGTTTATTGAGGTAAAATACACACAAAGGGATGAGGTAGCTCAAGCTATTCTCACCCCGTTCAGTACAACGTGTTAGTACATACATAGACACACATCACAAACAATAAACCTGTTACCAAACATTCTGAGAGATAAACATGTACATTTCCTCATACTTCAACATTGTTTCACGCTTTAAAAATGTACTTGTAACCGGAACTCTCGGCAATCGGCAGCCTATTGGGCCTGTATCAATGGTTTATATGGTGACATTTAATGCCGACGCAAGAATTGAAGGTCAAACGACGTGTGGGACCTATGGTATTGATAAGAGAATAGACCGAGCTAGCTCTACCGGCCCCGTGGATATGATCGATATAGTGAACCCAGAAGTGCATATTTTCACCCTTCACACACGTTTCATTTTGATACGTCCGCATATTTGGAGTCCCAGATAATCGCATTAGATCGTTGTCACACCCCTTGCTACTAGTATAGTACTGGAATAATTTCAGAACGTTATGAATGAGAAATATATGAGGGAGAAGTGAGACAGGGCGAACAGAAGCCCGAGGGGCCGAGTGCGTGTCGCCGGGCGGGGTAGCCTAGTCACAACGCTCGGGCCAGGGAATATAGACAGATCTATATTACTCGCGCTCCTGTCACCACCCCCTTGGCGAAAACTGTTATTCGGGTGAGTTGGCTGTGCACCTGTGCCGTGAACAGGTGTTCAGGCTACATTGTGACGAGAACAGTAAGCAGCAGCGAGCTCGGTATTGCAGCTGGGATTATATAGCTTTATGTTGCAGTGAGGAGGGGGCAAGGCCGATGGTATGTACTGTGTCTGTATTTGATGACGTGTTGTCTCTCTCTCTCCTCACCCAAGCCTTGTCTAATATTAAACACTTCAATATTAGCGTATTTTTAAAGAGCTTTTGTCAAAGGATGTTGTTATAAGACGTTTTTTGGGGGCAATTATTAATTACAATAATTATTTAGAATAATTATTCATTAGAATAATTATTTATTACAATAATTAAACTGATTATTTGATCACTTAAAGGGCGATTTGAGTAGGCTCATTGATACACATTTATCTCACTAATACCTTATTAATACCTTGCTAGACATTTTGCCTCATCTCTTTCCTGCTTATATATCCACACCCACTGAACTCTAAATCCATCCTTCTGAAGATGTATTGTTAAATACGAAAGTACTTGGGTAAGGAAATTCCTGTCTTAATCCTTCGTGGTCTGACACGGTCATTATATATATATATGTGTCTGTGAAATTGAGCAATGTTCACGTTGCTGAACATATATGTTCCGTGAACATATATGTTCCACGTGAACATATATGTTCCAGTATGCAAATGGAACAGAATATAGTCACGTTGCTAACCTACCAGTATGCAAGAGGAACACACAGTAACTGGAGCAGCTGGAACAGAGCAGGGGGGGGGGTAGAAATAGCCTAAACTACTTTATCCCTTTGAGATGTATTTCTTTCTTGTCTCAATAAAGATACTTGAGCTGGAACAGACGGTTACGCTCGCGTATTGTTATGTGCTTTTGGGGGTTGCCTAAAGGGGATGTTAATCAACCAGACTTTGCAGGGTGACGCTAGTTAATCGACGCTTCTCAGCCACGTGTATTGTTCGGCTCGCTTGATCAAGTTCAACCCAGTAGGCTTTAAAACCTGTTTCGGTATGAGCTGTGTGACGTCACACTGCCCATGTATTAAACAGAAACATTTATCTTTTGTTTCTTATTAGGTTGGGTTTGTTTATTGGGTAACTATGACTTAGTATGTTGTGGTCTTGGGTTTACTGCATGTGAAGTTTTAGCGAAATTATATATCTTGTAATTTGGTGTATGTGATATAAATAGTTCATGGGTTTTAACTGTCACTTGAAACGCTCGTATTTTTTTTTTTGTGTATAGTTTATGGGTTGGCCGAAGAAACTGACCCGTTGCTGATTTCTTCGCTTAACCAAGAGTCATATCGACGGCGTTATAAAATCTGGGTACAAATATTAAGGTAAATGGAAATAAAAAGAGAATCGATATAAAATATATATACCAAACATGGGTAATGCTATTAAATGGCCAAGCTTAACTCTGTGCCGTATTAATTGCACTACAATTTTATTGACTCGTTTCACGTGTGTAATGTACGAGTTATGAACTCGTCACCGCTGGGTGGCACTTGGGTTACTTGGGTTGGGTTGTTTTGTGTTCATCATGGGGTGGCTGTGAGATATTCACCGTTCTTTTAGTAAACAACGATAAAATCTTTTAGTTGACAGTCATTTTTCTTTTAAGCGTATGTCAAGTTGCATGAAATAAATAAAGCTTGTTGGATTTTTTTTCAGTATTTATATAAATTGGAGACATTCTTTATATATGAAATATGTGATGGTTATTATGGATGTTTGAGTTTGTCTTGGAGAGAGAGAGGGAGAAGGGAAGGGAACTATCAGGGGGAAAGCGCCAAGTCATTACGACTATATAGCACTAGGAAGGGGTCAGGATAAGGATTTTGGGATGGGATAGGGGGGGGGGGGAAGGAATGGTGCCTAACCACTTGGACGGTCAGGAATTGAACGCCGACCTGCATGAAGCGAGACCGTCGCTCTACCGTCCAGCCCAAGTGGTAGAGAGAGAGAAGGGGAAGGAGGGAGTTGAGAGGGGGGGGGGGTGCGCATAAGCACAAGTGTGTTGACCAGACCACACTAGAAGGTGAAGGGACGACGACGTTTCGGTCTGTCCTGGACCATTCTCAAGTCGATTGTGATGAGGAATGTTGTTATAGATTCAGCTACTCGGAACAAGTTCCAAGTAGCACGGGCTATGGTGAGCCCGTAATGGACTTGCCTGGCACAGGAGCGGTGCTGTGTCTGGGTGATGAGGAAGATTGATGATTGATTGATGAAGATTAAGCCACCCAAGAGGTGGCACGGGCATGAATAGCCCGTAAGTGGTGGCCCTTTCGAGCCATTACCAGTATCAAAAGATGATACTGGAGATCTGTGGAGGCGCAACTGCACCCTGCGTGACGGGAGATGTCTCCCGGACCAAGTGGTGACCAAATGGTGTGATAAGGAAGTAGATGCATACAATAAATAGGCTAGAGAGAGGTGAGGAGCAAAGTGTAGTACAGGGGATAGTAGTTGAAATTGAAATATGTTTATTGAGGTAAAATACACACAAAGGGATGAGGTAGCTCAAAGGGGATAGTAGTAGGAATGAGAACTGCAGACGGCCTATTGGCCCATACGAGGCAGCTCCTATTATAACCACCGAATGAGGAGATAGTAATAGGAATAAGAGGATAGTAAGGGAACGTAAAGAAAACAATGAACAGAGAAGAGAGAAAGAAAAGGAAAGAGAAAGATAAATGGAAGGTTAGGTTAGGTGTAAACAGTCGTGTGTAAAGTTTTTTTTTTTTTATGCGTAAACGGTGTTTAGGAGGTGCATGGAATGGACTTTGTCTTTTGTTTATGAGGACTGACTGTTCTTTGAAATGCTCTGACGAATTTGGTTTTCATTAAATAAAATTCTAGGGGAGAGTCAAATAGTTTTCAAATTTCATACTTCTCATGTTTGAGAATAATACACTATATTAATGTAACCAAACCTAATGAAACCTAACAGTGATTGTGTTAGGTTAACACAAAGATAATAACACTAAATGTGTTGTAGTTTCGAACACTACAGCCTGAGGACAGGTTGCCTTTCAACCCTCAACAATTTGTGTGCAAGTTTCTGAGCCTATTAGGATCTTTTCATACTGTATTTACATTTAAAGCTGTGAATGCAGTTTGCCTTCACTACCTTTCACATTCCATTTCACATTCCATTCTCTGACACTAAAATTATCATTTTTTTAAATTTGAAATTTGTTACCATCCAGCCCAAATGGTTGGACCATACAGTTGGTGAGTAACTGTAGACTTGATAGACTACAGTTACATTTATTAAGTAATTATCAAAAGAAGCCACCGAGCCGGGAAGGCTATGTAGCACCATCAAATAACTATTGTATAGTATATTATCAGTAAAAATATATTACCTTGTATATCTGCACTTCATTGTATATTTTTTAAATTCTTTGTAATATACTAAAACATCCTTGTAACATGCTAAAGAATCTTGAAACTTTCATTGTATAAAAACAAATTAGATTACATAAGAAGATAAGAACAAAGGCAACTGCAGAAGGCCTATTGGCCCATACGAGGCAGCTCCTATCTATAACCACCCAATCCCACTCATATACATGTCCAAAAATTAACAGATTTTATCTTTGTATATCTTTTATCTTTTATCTTTATTTTATTTGTATATCTTTATATTTTATCTTTATCTTTTATCTTTGTTTTTGTTTTCTGACTGGAAAAAAAAAAGAATTCTAAAATTTTAAGTAGCTATTGATGTTTTGATATAGAGACTCGTATATTTAATACATTATTAAATTGCTTCTTCTTTTGCAGATGTGATGATAATGGGTTTGAAGGAAGCCCTTCCCACCAACCTCTTCTTGTTTATCCTCATGACCCTTACGTAACAACCCGTGCTAGCACGACACCCACACTTACCAGCACCGTTACGAAGGGGGTCCTTACAGCGCTCTATGACCAGAGTTTCCGTATGCCTTCTTGAAGCTACGTTCAAGAAAGTTATTCATGTGACGGAATTAAGTTTAGATGCCATTCTGTAGGTGACATATTTTGAAGGTGGATTGCATTACTGTATACTGTAATATCATACAAGTAATGTAAAATGTTAAGATACTAATTATATATTTACAAATTGAATGAATTTTCTTACTAAATTTTCATTAAGGTATAGACAGTATCTCAGAATGGAAGGGAGACATTTAAGGTTCTGGCAATGGATGGTGTTTGGAATGTTGTGGTTGGGTTATGGATCAACTTACCTTCTGCGCAAGCCACTTGGAGTGATAAAAGCAGACCTTGAGAGTGGGTTGAAAGTTAGTTCTGCCAGCCTGGGGTGGGTAGATACAGCACTTCTTTTGCCTTATGCTGGAGTATCCCTTACTCTCGGGTCTTTGGGTGACCGTTTGGGGTCACGTATAACTTTGGCTGGGGGTTTGATTCTAGCTGCTGCTGCTACAGCTCCAATGACTGTGTGTCAATCTCTTCCTTCATTACTAGTATTACTGGCCTTCAGTGGAGCCAGCCAAGCATTGTGTTGGCCTGCTTGCTGTGCTTTATTGTCCCGCTGGTTTTCTGATGCCTCTCGTAACTCCGTTTTTGGGATGTTTGGCACATGCTGTTTTGTTTTTGGGATGGCTGGGACTGGTCTGGCAGTGTACTTGCAGGCAACTTATGGGTGGCGCTCTGTATTCTTGCCTCCAGCAGTAATTGTAACCATTTTGGGCGTGTTAGTGTTTGAGATTGGTAGAAATCCAAGTGAGCGGGGTTTGGTAGTACCAGGTCGGGCAGCTAATCAGCAGGTGCCACAAAATAAAACTAATCCAGAAAGTAAGATGTCCATGATGGCAGTATGGAAAGTGAGTCTTGTGCCAGAAGTATCTATTGCTATGTTCTGTGTGAAATTTGTGCGGTATGCTCTCATGTTTTGGCTGCCGTTTTACCTTTTGCGTTCGCTTAATTATTCCAAAATCAATGCTGGTCTAGCATCGACTGCCTTTGAAATAGGTGGTGTAATTGGGAGTGCATTTGTTGGTGTGGTTGTTGACCGTTGGATGAAGGGCCGTGCCATATTAACTAGTGCGTTGGCAGTTAGTGGATCAGCGCTTGCCTTGTTGGCTTTTATGGCTACGGCCTCCTGGGGCCCAATTTTTCATGTGATTTTTCTGGCTCTTGTAGGTGCCTTGAATTGTGGCCCAGATATTCTACTCTGTGGTTCAGTCTCGGCAGATATTGGCGAGCGGGAGGGAGGCGCAGCATCTGCAGTGACAGGTGTAGTAAATGGCATGGGGTCCTTGGGGACTGTTCTAGAGGGCCCTCTTGTATCTTTTGTCGCAGCAAAGTTCGGATGGTCATCCATGATGCCTCTTATGATACTACTATCGTGTTTTGGGGCCATTGCTATTTTCCGTGCAAATGTTATTCACTCGCGCATTGAAGGTCGGGTCAAACTCTCTTCCTTGAACTCGGTACCATGATGGCTACTTTATCCTTGCTCATCTTTTAAGAGGCATTCAAGATCATGTATAGTTTAACCTCATATGTATGCACTCTAGTATATTTTATAATGTATGTGCACTGTATTTATAAAATAATCTGAAAAAATTGTTCTGATTTATTTTTTGTTGTGAATAGGTGCTATGAAATTGTACAGCATTTCAACATGTATAGACAAGGTGGCCAATGCTGCAGAATAAGGATTTTGAATTAAGTAGAATATGAGAATGATTGTCCACAAATGCCAGTGACGATTAAAGTTTTTATCTAGTGAATTGATCATTAAGTTATTAAATGTTATAGCCATGATAAGTAGTTACATCAGGATGTGACTGTAACAATGTTAGCATTCTCTGTATGCATGAATATTACTGTCATTTTTGTATTTGATCAAAAATCCTAGGCATAATTGTAATAAAGTCCTCAATAAATGTATTCAGAGTGTAAATTTTAAAAGTTAGTGTCTAAAGTAGTCCTGTATACCAAAGATAAATGTTGAACTGTGATTCTTGTTACTTTTTTGATGACATGAATAAACATTAGAAATATGATATAGTTTTATAAGAAGTGTAAGATTCGTATTTTTTTTTTTAAAGATTATGGAGGGGATGGAATTCGTTTCTAGCCTCCATAGCTGCTCGCATTATCGATGCACCTAACACGCTTTAAAGATCAAAACAAGAAGTTATATTGAACATGCATTGTGTTTTTGCACCTAGCCGGTTCCTATAATCTATGTTTTTCAAGATACAATACCCACTTCTCTTAGGTAGGGAATGTGATTTTCTTTCTAGATAGGAACCTTGTGTTTCTTTCAACTCTAACTAGAAATCACATTAGCATGATGTATCCAAGAAGTTCTCATTTGATTTATTACATTAATATGATATTTCCCCCCTCAATAAAATCCATGGTTAATTTTATTCCTTTGACATCACTTTTTTCTACGTCTTTCTGCCCTTGTATGCCCCGAGTGGAATTTGGGAAATTTTCAATATTCCGTGACACATTATTATAGAGCCTTCAGGGCTTAGTGCTGTTCATATAGTTGCTTACTGCTGCCTTTGTTTCCCAACTTTCTTATTTTAAATCAAGATAGTTTATTTTGCTTCGGCTATACTTGGTGGTTTTGCTCGTTTTTTTGGTCCTCGCATTTCTATGCTTCCCACATATCTAAACACCAGATTCTGGGTGTGATGTTCAGTAGGCATGTCTAAATCCAGAGGCATGATAGTTTTGCAGATACTGTACTGTATGTGGTACCAGAGCTAATGCACCAAAAAGCTATCGAGGTTCAACTCTGAAAGAAAAGTACTTCATTTTGTCATGGTAAAGTTGTATTATTTCACACAAACTAGGCTCAATGGGCCCTGGAGTGATTATTAGAGTTTATTGTGCCCAAATTTTCTAAATGAATGTTACAATTCAGGGAAATGATTTCTGTGACTGCAAGCCCCAGTGCTAGGCCAAGGGCCTGAATTTAATAGAAACAATAACATGGAGGCACTGTACTGTTATTGAAATTTTAGCTGAATCCAAACAAAGTAGCATTCTTTCAGTGTAAGTGTATTATAGGTTATCATTTTGTATTTTATCGTGATTTGAAATATATTCTTTCTGAAATACATTTATGAGACATTAACAAATTAAAATACACATGTTAAACTTAAAACATCAACACAGCTTTTGATGTAAACTAGAAAAGTTCCTCTGGTCTTCATTTTGCATAAATGCCAGATGATTAGTAAGTAAACTTGGAATAAATCAATCATTCGCACCAATGTTTATAGGCTTAAGGTCACTGCTAAATATATTTATTACTGATGGAGATTATAACACTATATACACAAATTTTATATATATTTTTGATGATGGAATTTTTGGTTCAGTATTAATTTGTTGGCTGTAAATAATAAAAAGTAATTGTTAGATGAAAATGTATACATTTTTAAATGAAATTTATAAATTTAATCATAGACTAGGTTAGTTCTGTATTGATAAATTATAAAAACTGTCGAGACAGTATCTAATCTAATATCTAATAGAATACAAAGGTTGATAGTGTGCTGCAGGCTTATAGCTTGGTTTAGACTTATACACAGGTTCTTGTTTGTAGACTGCTGCAGGCTTGTAAATTGGTATTGGCTTGTAGACTGGTTCTGGTTTGTAAACTGGCTTGTGCTGAGGATAGGGCTGGGTATTCTCGTAAGTGATGGTGGGGTGGTAACCAGTCTCGTCCGAGTAATACTTCACAACCATCCGGCGACCATCGGGAAGGTCTACAAAGTATTGACCTTCAGTTCGGTAGCCCTCGCGTTTCTCTGAATGGCCAAAATTGGTGCCGTGGTAGTTGTCGGCCACACCGTACCCAAAATCATATTCTGTTGGCTGAAGGGGAAAAAAAAAGCAAATTGTCATTTGTAGAGTAGGCAAGGATAACGAACAGTAGGGCACCACTTAAACTAAGAGGTTATATTGTAAAAATGTGTTTGTGTAGGTGAGTGTACTTGCCTATTTGGGCCTGCAGGATCGAGCATTAGCTCTTGGACCCTGCCTTTCTAACCAATTTATTTTTTCTCCATTATATTTAGTACATATATTTCTCTCACACACACACACACACACACACACACACACACACACACACACACACACACACACACACACACACACACACACACACATATATATTGACAGGGTAGACAAGGATAAACTATTCAACACTGGAGGTACGTGAACAAGGGGACACAGGTCGAAACTGAGTACCCAAATGAGCCACAGGGACGTTAGAAAGAACTTTTTCAGTGTTAACAGGTGGAATGCATTAGGCAGAGATGTGGTGGAGGCTGACTCCATACACAGTTTCAAATGTAGATATGATGGAGCCCAGTAGGCTCAGGAGTCTGTACACCAGTTGACTGACAGTTGAGAGGCGGGACCAAAGAGCCAACGCTCAACCCCCGCAAGCACAAATAGGTGAGTACATATATATTATATATATATAGTATATATATAATATATACAGTATATTATATATATATAATATACATATCCATCCCCAGGAAGCCGCCCGGACCAGGTGTCTAAACTCCCAGGTACCTATTTACTGCTAGGTGAACAGGAGTACCAGGCTGAAAGAAACTGCCCACTTGTTTTTGCCTCAGCCAGGGATCAAATCCAGGCCCTTAGAACTACGACCCCTAAGTGCTGTCCACTCAGCCGTGAGGCCCCTGTGTGTGTGTGTGTGTGTGTGTGTGTGTGTGTGTGTGTGTGTGTGTGTGTGTGTGTGTGTGTGGAGGACTATTTTGAACATCTTTAACTCAAAGAACATCTGATCATAAGGGAGAAATCTAACAACATAATACACAAGGATTACTAAAAGTCTGAGTTAGGCTAAACAATATTAATATATTAGGCTAATAAAATATTAATACTGTATATAACTGAAATACGAGTAAGGAGAACAAGAATAAAGATATACAAAAATAACATTACGTACTGTACCATCACATATAACCAGCAGCAACACAGATTTAACAACACATGAAACGAGTATCACCACATAGAACTAACAGCATTATACAGAACCAACAACATTGCGGTCATAAAAGTATTTGTGTGTACGTCTGATACCATACTACTTGTGAAGGAGGAAATGTATATGTTTACCTCTCAGAATGTTTGGTAATGTGTTTATTTGTGATGTGTGTCTATGTATATATTAACACGTTGTACTGAATGGGGTGAGAATAGCTTGAGCTACCTCATCCCTTTGTGTGTATTTTACCTCAATAAACTTATTTCAATTTAAATTTCAACAACATTGCATAGAACAAGGAGCATCACATAGGAAATATGTGATGCTCCTTGTAGCATCATATATGGAAACTATTCGGGTTTCTGCCCGAAACGCTACACGTACTAGTGGCTTTATAAGAATGTAATTACTATGCTATGTATCCTCACAATCCCAATGTACCTTCTTGTATATATATAAATAAATTTATATATAAATTTATGAATAAGTTAGTGTTTTCATATCGAATTAAAACATTTAAATGAAGCCCTTCAAGACAACCTACCCATTATAAAATAGATATGATGGAGAGAAAATGTCTGGATGTCTCTCTTTAAGATTTGACCCAAATACAGGTAATTTTTATTGCATAAAAGATGTAAATTAGACTGAAAGTGACACAGTGAGAGTTTTTCCTGGAACGGTTGATAATGAAGGTAACAGGGACTGGAGTTGCGGGATAAAGACACTATTTAGCGCTAAATGGCTTTATAAATTACTGGTAATTATCATTACAGCGACGTCTGTGGTGATTCAAGAGTAATGATGCTTCGGCAGCTTCCGGCCCTCATCTCCTGTATATGATCGTACCTCTACAGGGGTATAGGTTAAGTAATAATTGTAATTACGAAGCAATAAGATGCTTATCTTAAGATACTAACAAGGTTAGGTAAGGTCGGTGTTTTCTATGAATCTTTTTAGGGGTATCTATTATGTTTAGTATATCACCTATGCACGTAGTTAATAAGTCAATATTGACTTTACGAATTTGCGAGAACGGGTTGCAAACAGTATACGGCCTAGAGTGGTCATAGGCGGGTCGGGGTCGAGCCCTGTGGCCCCATTTTGCGTGAAATGGCAAATTACTCTAATTTCCAATCTCGCTAAACGAAAAAAAAAAACATCTTCACAGAGACTCGACTTGCATATTAAATGCAAGTTGAATGTTGTTCTTAAAGTAGTTTTAACTTACATGTTCTAACTTACATATTCTAACACGCTGTCACGATTTAACTTACGCCGTCGTTGTAGACTTGTGCGGGCTTGTACACCGGACCTGGCGTGATGGTTTGGGTGTAGATAGGCTCGGGTGTATAGGATGATAGGTAGGCAGGCTTAGGTGTGTAGGTCGCGACATAAGCAGGCCTCGGTTTGTATGAGGGTTTAGGGGTGTAAGTCGGGGTGTAAACAGGTTTAGGGGCGTAGGTCGGGGTGTGAACAGGTTTAGGGGCGTAGGTCGGGGTGTAAACAGGTTTAGGGTCGTAGGTCGGGGTGTAAACAGGTTTAGGGGTGTAGGTCGGGGTGTAAACAGGTTTACGGGTGTAGGTCGGGGTGATATGGAAGTGTGGGTGGTGGGTGTTAAGAGAAGGGCTTCCGTTAGGGCGGTGTCGCACCCCGTCCGCCGCCCCGACAGCCACGCCCGCTACCAACACAAACAGCACCTGGTGGACAGAAGAGAATGGAATTATTACATTTTCGGGGTGTCTAAAATATTATATGGTGTATAAGTATTTATCAAAAGAAAGCAAGGAATTGTGCCATGCTGTGTATAGAGAGCTTCTTTAAGGAGGTCAAATGTAACACACACACGCTAGGGGCAACAGCTTCAAGCTCAACAAGCCACAATGTAACACACACACACACAAGGGGAACAATGTTTTTTTCACCCATGCTTGTCTTGCAAATTGTCTATACACCTAGGTCATAAAAGTATTTGTGTGTACTCTGATAACATACACTGTGAAGGAGGAAATGTATATGTTTAATGTGTGTCTATGTATATATTAACACGTTGTACTGAATGGGGTGAGAATAGCTTAGCTACCTCATCGTTGTACCTCACTTTCTTCATCAATTCCATAGGCTGTACACTACAATGTACACCTCGTTGAACACGTCATCATCTTCACTAACACTCTCATCACCGTAATAACTTAGGTAGAAAATAATATGGTGTATAAGTATTTATCCAAAGAAGGCGCCAAGCTGGGAAGTAGTAGTGAAGATCCTGCAGTTTCGAGAGACTATGGAGTTGCACTCTGGTTGTCGAGGCTGGAGTGACCTCTCCAGGGGCGCAAAGCCTTAGGTCGATATGTAGGAGAAGCTGTTACCCATGCAGCAGGTCCCCCCCCCCCTCCCTCCCCTCCACGTTGCTGAACTTCTCCAGTGGAATGGCCAACGCCAATATGCTTTATTGTCTGAGAATATGGTTGACTATGTAACAGAGTCAGTAATCGAACAGTAATTTGTAGCAAGTGATCTGTCTAAATTCTTGAAAATTGGGACCACGTTGGACACCCTCCAGGCAACAGGTCCAATTTTCTGAATATTGCCTGATTTAAATCAATTGCTTTCTTGATCGATGATTCATGCAGTTTTCCTGCTCACAGCCGATTCGGGTTAAACATTGTCAGACAGCTCACTCCGTGCGATGACCGATTCTGGCTCAATGTTCAGAGATAATTCACTCCGTGAGATGACTGACTCTGGCTCAATGTTCAGAGATAACTCACTTCGTGAGATGACTGACTCTGGCTAAATATTCTTAGACGACTCACTCTGTGAGACGACCGACTCTGGCTAAATATTTTCAGACAACTCACTCCGTGCGATGACCGATTCTGGCTCAATGTTCAGAGATAACTCACTTCGTGAGATGACTGACTCTGGCTAAATATTCTGAGACAACTCATCTCCTGAGATGTACAAGGCGGGTTTGATATTCTCAGACAACTTAGTCCTTGAGATGTGTAACTTAGACAAAATATCCTCGGCCAACTCATCCCTTGAGAGGCGCAAGGTAGGCTGAATCTCAGACAACTAGCTCTCTGAGATGGCTGACTCCGGCTAAATCTTCTCAGACAATTCGCTCTGTGAAATGACTGGTTCAGGTTAAATATTCTCAGACAATTCGCTCTGTGAAATGACTGGTTCAGGTTAAATATTCTCAGACAATTCGCTCTGTGAAATGACTGGTTCAGGTTAAATATTCTCAGACAATTCGCTCTGTGAAATGACTGGTTCAGGTTAAATATTCTCAGACAATTCGCTCTGTGAAATGACTGGTTCAGGTTAAATATTCTCAGACAATTCGCTCTGTGAAATGACTGGCTCAGGTTAAATATTCTCAGACAATTCGTTTCTTAAGATATGCGATGAGGACGAAATATTCTCAGACACCTCGCTTCTTAAGATGTGCAACTGGGCCGAAATATTCTCGGACAACTTGCTCCTTGAGATGACTGACTTGGGCTAAATATTCTCAGACATCTCGCTCCTTAAGATACTCTGCTAGGACGAAATATTCTCAGACATCTCGCTTAATGAGAGGGCCTCAGGCTGAATATTCTCAGACAACTTGCTTCTTGAAATGTGCGACGCCGTCTAGATATTTTCAGACCGAGTCCTCTAGATGACCGCCTCAGGCTTGATATTTTGAGCAAGCGTGTTAATTAAGTTAGTTATCTTAGGCTACATGTAAAACTTGCCCGTTAGTCGGCTTTACTGGGGCCATATTTTCTGAGTCAGCTGGGTCCTTAAGATATCCGACTCGGGCTATCTATTCTGAGACAAGTAGTCTTCGTAGGCAATCGACTCGGACGACGTACTCTCAGACGTCCATTTCTTGGTGGCCATTTTCTTTAACGTACTGAAATACCCATCTGGATCCAATATCTATCCCGTTTCTTCGTCTAAGTAGCTGTTTAACTAAGACAACTAATATTTATAGTAACTCTCCTCATCATCCATTTCGTAGTCGGACAGTTCGCTTTCCTAAGTGGGCGTCTCGCTCCCTAAGATCAGCTACTAGTTCGCTGGAACGGGCGACTCTCTTTCTGCAACCGGATTATTCTGCGAATCATCTTCTAGGATGAGCAATTCGTTACCTAGGATGGGCTACTTGCTCCCTAAGATGCGCGAAGCGTTCTATATGTTGCGTTGTTCAGGGCTATAGACGGACCGGATACAATGCATTACAGTGGAACCGAAACTCCAATATAACAAGAGCGCCAGGGTGACTATGATAATTGCCAGTAGTAGGCATCCATCAGTCTCAGGAGACTATGGAGTTGCGCTCTGGTTGTCGGTCTGGAGTGACCTCACCAGTACAGTCTTTTTAATCTACACAAAATCCAGTACATGTTTTCTTTTTGTGTCGTCAACGAGAGTCGTAGATTCGATACCACCTTCGACGTTAACAGGAACGGAAACTTCACTACCACTGCTGTTGACAATGGGCGCCATTGCTTGACTGCAACCGCCGCTAACGGGAGTCACTGCTTCACTGGTGCCAGCACCACTGTCTTCAACAGGAGCCATTGTTCCAACGGTACTGACGTCAACAGTTGCCGTTTCTTCACTGCAACTGGCCTCAACGAGATTCGTTATTTCACTGGCAATGTTGTCAACAAGATCCGTTACTTCAGTACCACCCACGCCAACACGAGCCGTTGGTTCAATACCACTACCACTATCGTCAACGGACCTCGTTACTTTACTATCACTCTCGTCTATAGGAGCCGTTGTTTAACCGGCTCTATCATCGTCTTGCGATACTTTGCTAAGGGAAGACTCACACTGCCCCTCTTCCTCCTCTGGATCACTACAGAGACAGCAAAGAAAACGTCTTAATTCCCGAAACACATTTTTTTTCATCATGTAAATAAAGTCTACATTTGGTTAATAAATCCGATATTGAACAAATAACATTAATGACGAAGTATTTATATTCATAATGCGTAGCGTATAGCAAGCTTGGAGTTGATAGCCTAATATAGGATAGCATTAGACACCGTTGTGGGATAGCTGAATTGTTTCAGATGTAGGTTATCCACCCCAAACTCTTTCATATATGTCTAGACTTCGCTTGAAACAATTCCAGCAACTCCACAACCTGGTTCCCAAAGCAGTATTAACCCCAGGTCTTTCCTAAATCAAAACTTGTCCAGTTTTTAGCCTTAGTTTCGTGTTTCATTTTGCGTTGATATCGTTAATATCTTATTAATGTGGTCTCCTGTGGCTTATTATGCAGTCTCCGTGGTGAAGTGGTAAGACACTCGCCTGGCGTTCCGCGAGCGCTATGTCATGGGTTCGTATCCTGGCCGGGGAGGATTTACTGGGCGCAATTCCTTAACTGTAGCCTCTGTTTAACGCAACAGTAAAATGTGTACTTGGATGAAAAAACGATTCTTCGCGGCAGGGGATCGTATTCCAGGGACCATAGGATTAAGGACTTGCCCGAAACGCTACGCGTACTAGTGGCTCTACAAGAATGTAACAACTCTTGTATATATCTCAAAAAAAAAAAAAAAAAAAAAAAAAAAAAAAAAAAAAAAAAAAAAAAAAAAAAAAAAAAAAAATGTTCTCTCTTTATTATACCCGTTCAGACAGGTGTATACATATGTCAGCTCCTATTAGCTGTCTTACGGTTGAATGTAAATTAATCTTTCTGAATCTCTTTCATAAGGAAGATTTCTACATCCTGGGATTAACTTTGTCATCCTTCGCTGGACGCGTTAGAGTGAATATCCACTCTATAGTGTGGCAACCAACCACTTGGGCTGGACGGTAGAGCGACGGTCTCGCTTCATGCAGATCGGCGTTCAATCCCCCGATCATCCAAGTGGTTGGGCCCCATTCCTTCTCCCCGTCCCATCCCAAAATCCTTATCGGGGATTGAATGCCGATCTGCTTGAAGCGAGAGGGTCGCTCTACCGTTCAGTCCTAGTGTCGTCACTGCAATGTACCGTTACTGACGTGTACCATCTGTTGTACCTGTCAGCCGAGTACCATCTGTTGTACCTGTCACTGCTGTACCTTCCCTTTCTTGCACCATGAAGCATCGTGGGTACAACAGGCAGGTTGACAGAAAGACAGACAAGATGAGAGACAGATAAACCCGTTGACAGAGAGATTAACGAGTCATTAACGCCGCAATACTGCTGACGCCAACGTATCGAGGCCCTAGGATGCTCCAGTGAGTGACAACGCAGCCGTGACGTTACTAATCGTTACGTAACTGGCGTCTACCCTGCGTCACGGGGCTCGTGTGGTGATGGTTATCTGTCCGCAATTACCTGTCAGTCACTTCGAGGAAGTGAAATTTATAGTTCACGATCTTTTGTAACTGTCTCTTTGCATTCTAGTTCTCTATGGGTGTAACTGGGAGGACCCTGAAGAAAGGGTAAAGGAATACCTGACTGCCAGAAACCAGAGCATCAAAGTCAGAGTTGAGAGGAGCGTAAGGGTGTTAATATTCTTACCCTCCTCCTCCAGATCACAAAGAAATCACAGTGGCATGATATATCAATTAGGAAATAATTTTAGGGCTATGGGGGTGATTTGAACCGGCGTTCAGGTGATTAACCCACTCGGTAATGATAGGACAAAAGCCAATCAACCCGGAACTCTTCTGAATTCACTGGAAGGTGTTTGGGAATCACCAGAATGCCGGTCCAATGAAGAATTAAACAATACCGGATATTCAGACTCTGTTTGGTGCGATATAATAGCCTAAAAATGGGAACACATTGAGAGTGAGAGTTTGGTTCAGAGCAGAAACGCCAATGGCAGAGAAAGTTATAGACCCGACTCACGTGACAAAGGCGGCAGCTGAAGTTCAAGCTCTTATAAAGCGGGATTTTTAACCATCAGATAACAGACTGGTTAAATTTAACATCGCCAAGCAGGCGAGAAAAAGAGAAAGAATTCTTGACCTCGTATTGGACTTCTTTCTCACACAGCATGTGCCAGAGCCCACCAGAGGCAGCAGCATTCTAACTCTCGCGTTAACAACATAGAACATGATTGATCGAATCCACGAGTTTTCAAAATTCAGATTTCGCAGTTTTAACATTGACGAGTGATTAACATTTTAACATTTAACGAGCTGACGAGTGTGTTGTGGTAGAGGAGGAGGGGGGGGAGGGGTTGAGAAGGTGAGTTGATGTAGAGAAAGTGAGAGTGATAGAAGGGAGGGAACTATCAGGGGGAAAACGCCAAGCCATTACAACTATAGTAGGCATCTATCAGTCTCAGGAGACTATGGAGTTGCGCCCTGGTTGTCGGTCTGGAGTGGTCTCTCCAGGGCGCAAAGCCAGGGTAGGTTGATTCGGGGGAGAAGCTGTTACCCAGGCAGCAGGTCCCCCCCCCTTCTCCACGGCGCTGAAAGTCTCCAATAGGAAGGCATGATGATGAAGATTAAGTCACCCAAAAGGTGGCACGGGCATGAATAGCCCGTAAGTGGTGGCCTTTTTAAGCCATTACCAGTATCAAGAGCTGATACTGGAGATCTGTGGAGGTGCGAATGCACCCTGCATGATGGGAGATGTCTCCCTTGTGAATGTGTTAAGATGAAGATGAAGCCACCCAATAGGTGGCACGGGCATGAATTGGTAAGTGGTGGCCCTTTTGAGCCATCACCAGTATCAATAGATGATACTGGAGATCTGTGGAGGTGCGACTGCACCCAGCGTGACGGGAGATGTCTCCCGTGTTTTAAACAGATGAAGAAGATGAAGATGAAGCCACCCAAAAGGTGGCACGGGCATGAATAGCTCGTAAGTGGTGGCCCTTTCGAGCCATCACCAGTATCAAGAGCTGATACTGGAGATCTGTGGAGGTGCAAGTGCACTCTGCGTGACGGGAGATGTCTCCCATGAATGTGTCCAAGATGACGATTAAACCATCCAAAAGGTGGCACGGGCATGAATAGCCCGTAAGTGGTGGCCCTTTTGAGCCATTACCAGTATCAAGAGCTGATACTGGAGATCTGTGGAGGTGCAACTGCACCCTGCGTGACGGGAGATGTCTCCCGGACCAAGTGTGTGGTGTGGATTAAGGAAGGCATATGCCAATACGACTATATAACACTTGGAAGGGGTCAGGATAAGGATTAGGGATGGGACGGAGGGGAAGGAATGGTGCCCAACCACTTGGACGGTCGGCTGGGAGGGATGGGATGACTTATTTAAGAGTGATAAAGAGGAAGTCTAACTCTTTATACCTACTAGTTTAATTGAACCTTCCTGTTTGTTAAATTTCTTGTATCGACTCTGGTCTTAAAGATGGAGGTGGCTTCCAGGACTTCTTCCTTCAGTGTACCTTACCTTGAGGTTACCTTGAGGTGCTTCCGGGGCTTAGCGTCCCCGCGGCCCGGTCGTCGACCAGGCCTTCTAATATATAGGAATATATAGTGTATAATCCTAATATATAGTGTAATATATAATGTATATTCCACTTGTTGACCACTCGTAAAGGAAGGTGAATTTCCTTCCATTTTCTCGACTCATTTGTCTTCTCAGCTTTCACCCTTGTCCTCTTGTCCTACTTTCTATTTGAAGAGCTTGTCAATATCTACCTAATCTATTCTCTTCGGTATCTTATACGTAGCGATCATATCTCCTCCGGTGAGATTTAGTACCCTTACCCTATCATCGTAATTTCAGCACAGTTAGTGTTATAACACAGCCCAGCTAGTTATATGGATCTCTGAAATTTGACTAGTTTTGAAGAACAAAAGTAGAGAACAATTTGTTCTTAGTTTGTTCTAATAGAGGTCGAGACAATTAGAGTTGAGTCAGTGCCCAAACTACCCAACCAAACGATCAATTAACCCTCAATGTGAGGTCTCTTGAGTGTCCCAGCCAAATATGAAGGCTGGCCTTGGGAATCATGTGTCATTACACTACACAACGTCCAACCACTTGGACTGGACAGTAGAGCGACGGTCTTGCTTCATGCAGGTCAGCGTTCAATCCCCCGACCGTCCAAGTGGTTGGGCGCCATTCCTTTCCCCACCGTCCCATCCCAAATCCTTATCCTGACCCCTTCCCAGTGCTATATAGTCGTAATGGCTTGGCGCTTTCTTTCACTGATAGTTCCCTTCTCTACACAACGGTAAGGTGTTTATTTCTCACTGTGGAGGAGATATCCGGCCCCGATGGTAAGCCTGGAGTACCACTGTGAAGGAGATATCCGGCCCCGTTGGTAAGCCTGGAGTACCACTATGGAGAAGATATCCTGCCCCGTTGGTAAGCCTGGCGTACCACTGTGAAGGAGATATCCGGCCCCGTTGGTAAGCCTGGAGTACCACTGTGGAGGAGATATCCGGCCCCGTTGGTAAGCCTGGAGTACCACTGTGGAGGAGATATCCGGCCCCGATGGTAAGCTGGGTTACCACTATGGAGAAGATATCCGGCTGTATTGAAAGGGCGTTACATAATGTTGGACAAAACACAGGACTACAACACTGTTCTGCTGCCCTATGTGACCGACCATATAGTGCTGGACAAAACCTAGGACCAGAACAGTATACTCATCGGGTAGACTATGAGGATTTCCTCCAATATCCGGCAGTGAATGATATACTTTCAGAGTTGCAGTATATCGTGTCATTCAGTCTCAAATCATCGATAACTGGATATTTTAATATCATATCGAAGCCACGAACAGCTCACCGACAATTAAAAATGATTTAAAACACGGCACTTTTGTCATGAAAGGCGTGACT